ATATAGACAAATGCGAAGTTCTAAATGTTGGACAGGACAATAACCATGCCACATATAAACTAAATAATGTAGATCTTATATATACGGATTGCGAAAAAGATTTAGGAGCTCTGGTTAGCAGTAATCTGAAACCAAGACAACAGTGCATAAGTGTTCGCAATAAAGCTAATAGAATCCTTGGCTTCATATCAAGAAGCATAAATAATAGGATCCTCAGGTTGTTCTTCAACTCTATACTCCTTGGTTAGGCCTCATTTAGATTATGCTGCACAGTTTTGGTCACCGTATTACAGAATGGATATAAATTCTCTGGAAAATGTACAAAGGAGGATGACAAAGTTGATCCCATGTATCAGAAACCTTCCCTATGAGGATAGACTAAGGGCCCTGAATCTGCACTCTCTAGAAAGACGTAGAATTAGGGGGGATATGATTGAGGTGTATAAATGGAAGACGGGAATAAATAAAGGGATGTAAATAGTGTGCTGAAAATATCTAGCCTAGATAGACTCGCAGCAAAGGTTTTAAGTTGGAAAAATTCAGATTCAGGAAGGATATAGGAAAGTACTGGTTTGGTAATAGAGTTGTGGATGAGTGGAACAAACTCCCGAGTACAGTTATAGAGGCCAGAACGTTGTGTAGCTTTAAAAATAGGTTGGATAAATACATGAGTGGATGTGGGTGGGTGTGAGTTGGACCTGATAGCTTGTGCTACCAGGTCGGTTGCCGTGTTCCTCCCTTAAGTCAATGTGACCTGACCTGACTAGGTTGGGTGCATTGGCTTAAGCCGGTAGGAGACTTGGACCTGCCTCACATGGGCCAGTAGGCCTTCTGCAGTGTTCCTTCGTTCTTATGTTCTTATGTTCTTATGTAATTGCCTTAAATGTACGCCTTGACACCCTGAAGAAGAAACAACTGTATGCAATGCAAGAACTCTACATGCCAGATAGAGAACATTCTCTCCAAGTTGAAAATACCACGGATTATATCATCAATACTCCTCCTCACAGGACTCAAAGAATGACTCTCCACAGAGAGTCTGTCGTTTTATCCATAAAGACGATTACCATCGACCAATGATATTGAGCAACCTCCCTGCAAATGAAGATGATTGGGTAACACAAGAACCCTCCTATGTTTACTAAGAAAATCATCGCCCCCACTTAGGGAGACATCTTGTATAATATTCTACTGTTAAAATTATGCTACATTTACTATGGCGGGACACCACCTTGTAAGAAGCTATGTCAAGAAATTCTTTATAAACTAGCCAGAAAATTATTGCCTTCATTGTCGTTTAAATATCCGTTGTGCAATCGCCCCCCAAAAAAATAATAATAAAAAAAGCAATTGCAACTTGTATATTTACTACCAATTCAGAGTCATGTACTTATATATCTGTTATATCTACGTGACTCTGATGGGTTAGTATTATACCCCTTCAAGAATATATTATTCCACATACACTTTTTAAATTACACCAAAGTGGTTGGGCCACTTACCTTTTATATCCTACCTCTCTCCCCCCTCCCACCCTTTTCCAAGATTTCTATCCTTACCCATCCTTCTTCCTTACCCATCTTACGAAAGCTCTGGTCATAAGAAGAAGAAGAAGAAGAAGAAGGGGGAACATCAAACACAAATGCTTACAGAAACCTCTCAACTCCTGTCACCACATATCAACCAAACACAGTAAACAGAAACAAACCACACTCCATAGCCACCACCCCCCTAAGCACTAATTCCACAATCACAGCAGCCTCCCATAATATTGTGTCCTGCCTCCCACCCTCCCAGCCTGCACCTTCCTCTTCCATCTCCCAAAATACAGTAATGGAAAGGAAGCTAAAGGTATGTTACACCAATGTAGATGAAATAACAAATAAGATTGAAGAGTGGCAAGAGCGCAATATTGATGCATCACCTGACATTATAACGCTAGCAGACAAAACTTACAGGGATGATAACAGATGCAGTTTTTCCACCTGGATATCAGATTATGAGGAAAGACAGAGAGAACAGAGGAGGGGGAGGAGTAGCATTGCTCATAAAAAAACAGTGAAGTTTTAGGAGATGGGAGGAATGGAAAGAAGGGAAACAGACGACTTCATTGTAGGAACACTTCAGACTGGTGGTCCAAAGGAGATGATAGCAGTGATGTATAACCCACCACTTAACAGCAGGAGAACAAGAGAAGAGTATGATGTGCGCAATAGGGCAATGGTGGATACACTAGCTGAAGTGGCCAGGAGGGCTCATATGGGTAGGACAAAATTGCTTATAATGGGGGATTTCAATCATAAAGAGATTGACTGGGAAAATCTAGAGGCACATGGGGACCAGAAACATGGAGGGCTAAGATGTTGGAGACTGTATTGGAGAACTTTATGCACCAACATGTTAGGGATACAACCAGAGAGAGAGGAGAGGATGTTGCAGTAAGACTGGATCTCATATTCACCTTGAATAGTTCGGACGTAGGGGATATCACCCACGAAAGACCCCTTGGCGCTAGTGATCATGATGTCCTGAGTTTTGAATATCCTGTAGAGTTAACATTGGAGAACGCAGCGGCACGAGAACAAAGAGAGAAACCGAATTTCAAAAAAGGAGACTACATAGGACTGAGAAGTTTCCTGCATGAAGTGCAGTGGGAAAGAGAACTAAATGGAAAGACAGTAAATGAAATGATGGAAATAGTGACCACTAAGTGAAGGGAGGCAGAGGAAAGGTTCATACCAAAGGGCAACAGAAAAAATGGTAAGACCAGAGTAAGCCCATGGTTTAACTGAAGGTATAAAGGAGGCCAAAGCCAAGTGTGCTAGAACATGGAAAAGGTATAGAAGGCAAAGTACTCAAGAAAACAAGGAGTTGAGAATAAGAACCAGAACGAATATGCAGGGGTAAGGAGAGAGGCCCAGAGGCAATACGAGAACGACATAGTATCAAAAGCCAAATCTGAACCAAAGTTGTTATACAGTCACATTAGGAGAAAAACAACAGTCAAGGACCAGGTAATCAGGCTGAGGAAAGAAGGAGGGGAGCTCCCAAAGAGTGACCAAGAAGTATGTGATGAACTAAACTCAAGATTTAGAGAAGTATTCACAATAGAGCCAGGAATGCTTCTAGCAAACTGTGGAGGTAGAGTGCACCAGCAGGTGCTGGACACAATACACATAACCAAGGTAGAGGTGAAGAAACTGCTAGACGAACTCGATACCTCAAAGGCGGTGGGCCCAGATAACATATCTCCAGATACTGAGAGAGGGAGCAGAGGAACTGTATGTGCCCTTAGCAGCAATCTTCAGTAAATCTATCGAAACAGGGCAGTTGCCTGAGGCGTGGAAGACAGCACATGTAGTTCCAATTTTTAAGAAAGGGGACAGACAGGCAGCATTAAACTACAGACCAGTGTCACTGACTTGTATAGTATGTAAAGTCATGGAAAAGATTATAAGGAGAGAAGTGGTGAAACACATTGAAAAGATTGGGCTCATACATGACAGTCAGCACGGCTTCAGAGATGGGAAATCCTGTGTCACAAATCTACTTGAGTTCTACGATAAGGTAACAGAAGTAAGACAGGAGAGAGAGGGATGGGTAGATTGCATCTTTTTAGACTGCAAGAAGGCTTTTGACACAGTACCACACAAGAGACTGGTGCAAAAATTAGAGGAGCAGGCAGGAATAACGGGGAAAGTACTACAATGAATCAGGCAATACCTGACAGGAAGGAAACAACGAGTGTTGGTACGTGCTGAAGTGTCGGAGTGGGCGAATGTGTCGAGTGGGGTTCCACAAGGTTCAGTCCTAAGCCCGGTGCTGTTTCTTGTCACTGTTCGCTGATGATGTGAAACTGATGAGGAGAATACAAGTGGGCGAGGATCAGTTAAGATTACAATGGGATCTGGACAGACTACAAGCATGGTCCGACAAATGGTTCCTGGAGTTTAACCCCAGTAAGTGTAAGGTCATGAAGATTGGGGAAGGACACAGAAGACCGCAGACGGAGTACAGGTTAGGAAACCAACAGCTGCAAACGTCAATTAAAGAAAAGGATCTTGGGTAAGCATTATAACGAACATGTCCCCTGAGGCACACAACAATCAAATAACTGCTGCAGCATATGGGAGATTGGCAAACCTGAGATTGGCATTTAGACATCTGAGTAAGGAGTCATTCACGACATTGTACACAGTGTACGTAAGGCCTATAGTGGAATATGCAGTGCCAGTATGGAACCCTCACTTAGTCAAACACGTCAGTGTTTGATATACCTCTCAGTGCAAAAATTTGCACTGAGGGGTATGTCTCACGAAGAGAGGTTAAGGGAACTCAACCTGATGACACTAGAGGATAGGAGGGATAGAGGGGACATGATAACAACGTATAAAATACTAAGAGGTATTGGCAAGGTGGACAAGGATCGAATGTTTCAGAGATGGGATACTGAAACAAGGGGACACAATTAGAAGCTGAAAACCCAGATAAGTCATAGGGATGTTAGGAAGTATTTCTTTAGTCTTAGAGTTGTCAGGAACTCGAATAATCTGGAGAGTGAAGTAGTGGAAGCAAGTTCCATAAATAGCGTTGAGACGAGGTATGACAAATATCATGGAACAGGGAGAGAGTGAATAAGTATCGACCAGTGAAGAGGCGGGGCCAGAAGCTATGAATCGACCCCTGCAACCACATATAGGAGAGTACATATAGGTGAGTACACACAGACACACAAAAGGGGCTCCAGAAAGACGGAGAGGTGGGGTACACCACCAAGTGCTGGACACAGTACACACAACTGAGGAAGAAGTGAAGAGGCTTCTGAGTGAGCTAGATACCTCAAAGGCAATGGGGCCGGATAATATCTCTCCATGGGTCCTGAGAGAGTGAGCAGAGGCACTATGTGTACCTCTAACAACAATATTCAATACATCTATCGAAACAGGGAGATTGCCTGAGGCATGGTGTTCTGGTAGCGGGGTGTGAATGATGCGTCTTCGGAGGCTTCTTTGTTTATTGTAAAGTCGTCGTGGGTACACAGGCTTGTGTGTTTGAGCCCATGGCCCGGGCAGGGCCATCCCACGAGAGAGAGCTGGGAGGCCTTGTGTCTTGCTGCTAGGCCGCTGTGAGAGTGAGGCGGAGGCATGGGCCGGCAGGCTGGCGTGCCTGCCGCGAGGCCTGGCTACAGAGGGCAGCAACTGAGTGGCGTGAAATATGAACTAAGCTGGCAGACAGCATGGGCTGTCTGTGCAGACAGTACAGGCTGTCTACATACGCTCGGCCACCTACCGCGCATCGTCCCAACGCGACAATACTGGTAGTAAAAGAAACTCGGTCTCTCTCTAGTAGGAACAGGGCACAGAACACAAAATAAAAACATATATATACATATGGACATGCAAAAAAAACTTCCTACAGGGAGGGAAGAAAAAAACATGTGGGGTGTGCTAAACATCGTGGTCATAGGCAGTGAGCGTCGAAGGGCATCACTGCACGCCTTTCTGCGTCTGGACATATACTGCAACACAGGAGACATCGCTGTGGCTGAGCTGTGACGTAACAGGTTACGGTCTCCTCTGGAACGGTGAAGCAGACATCGTAGGAGTCGCTGCAGGTTTTCACTCAACCTGGGGCACGACATGCTGGTGCCCTCGAGTGAGGCGTCGACAAAACTCGGCAACTGGGCAGGACTTCTGGCAAGCGACTCAGGAGGACACTTCTCGACTGGTACTGTCGCTGGGCTGTCACTGCCGGCGAGTGTGGAGCGAGTTGTGGAGCGAGTCGTGGCAGAGACGACTGGGCGAAACATCTGGGAGTCATAACATCATACACCAGACTGCAGTGAGAGAGCTAGCAGTCAAAGTGACATCATCTTTGTGCAGGCTGCTCTCTGAAGCTTGTGACACGAGGCTGACACAGTGTGTCATTCTCTCGACAGTTGGAGTTATAGCAGAGGTTAGTCTAAGCGCCCCCAGACTTGTTTCTCTACATATAACTGCACTCTGACAGTCTGGAGGTGAAGTGAAACAAATCTCGATGGGAATCGTAGCAGGTACGATTCTGCAGAACATCACGAGCGACGAGCATAAAAGCTTTCTGTACAAGAGGGCTCATATGAATGCTCAGGGCTGAGTAATCAGCTGTCAAACACACTGGTCACACGGGTGACTTAACACAGTGGTGCTACTCAGGTCTGGCTCAGACCTCACTGGACACACGAAAACTTTACAAACACACCGCGGTACAACATGTCTTAAACTAGCAAATGATACTTTTCTGTGCATAAAACTAAGACATACTAAAATGTGAGAACACTGACTGAGAGGAATTAATTAACACACGACATATATTTTCTCTCAATCTTCTCGACAATATTAAAATAATTACTAGAAACACTCGATGTGACATCAGGTGATGTCAGGCGTGATGACGTCAGCAGCACTGACGTCAGCAGACATCTCGAGGTGAGTCAGCAGCACTGTGACGTCAGCAGACATCTCGAGGTGACGTCAGCAGACATCTCGAGGTGACGTCAGCAGACATCTCAAGGTGACGTCAGCAGACATCGTGACGTCATGAAGTCGGGCAGCATCGTGGGTGACGTCAATGTGATGCGGGCAGCAGACCACAGCATGTGGCCTGGGACAACTGGTAACTCACGTGGCTGGTAGATCCACGTGACATCGCCCACACCCACGTGGCGTCGTGATCCACGTGGTGTCGTGATCTACGTGGTATGCTGGTCCACGTAGCTTCGAGTGGCCTCGGGCACTCGGATACACAGCTCTGGCAATGAATTCACATGGAAAACAGCAGAAAACACAGCAGAGGGAGTGGGCAGTGGTGAGTGTATGGTAGTCTGGTGGCGAGGAGCGTGGGTGAGTGTATGGCAGGGGAGCATCTGGCGGTCTCTCCTCCTCCCACCCACAAACACAGGGAAACACACTGGACGCAGAAATCACTACAAGACTCACCTCTGGCTTGCTGAAACGGCTGTGCTGAGCTGAACAACAACAGCAACATACAAGGGACGCTGAACACGTGACTTGAGAAACAGCATGGGACACTGTAGCGTGGGGTCACTGTGAAGCCACTCACAATTCTCGAAGAAATTCGGCAAATTTCGGCTGGATCCTGCTTGTACCTGTGTCTGGATGCTCAAACGTGCAGACACGACGTCAGGATAACTCGTTGAGAGACGGATGCTTCTTGCATGGGATGATGAAGTGAAGATGACTTCATCCCACGCCAGCCGCGAGGCCTGGCTACAGAGGGCAGCACCTGAGTGGCGCGAAATATGAACTAAGCTGGCAGACAGCATGGGCTGTCTGTGCAGACAGTACAGGCTGTCTACACACGCACGCATAACGAGCACACAGGTCCACGCACGCATAATGAGCACACAGATCCATGCACGCATAATGAGCACACAGGTCCATGCACGCATAACGAGCACACAGGTCCACGCACGCATAACGAGCACACAGGTCCACGCACGCATAACGAGCACACAGGTCCACGCCCGCATAATGAGCACACAGGTCCACGCACGCATAACGAGCATACTGGTCAAAGCACGCATAATGAGCACACAGGTCCACGCACGCACAACGAGCACACAGGTCCACGAACGCATAATGAGCACACAGGTCCATGCACGCATAATGAGCACACAGGTCCACGCACGCATAACGAGCACACAGGTCCACGCACGCATAATGAGCACACAGGTCCACGCCCGCATAATGAGCACACAGGTCCACGCACGCATAACGAGCATACTGGTCCAAGCACGCATAATGGGCACACAGGTCCACGCACGCACGCAGACGGAGCACACAGGTCCACGAAACACATAATGAGCACACAGGTCCACGCACGTATAATGAGCACAAAGGTCCACGAACGCATAACGAGCACACAGGTCCACGAACGCATAATGAGCACACAGGTCCACGCATGCATAATGAGCACACAGGTCCACGAACGCATAACGAGCACACAGGTCCACGCACGCATAATCAGCACACACGTCCACGCACGCATAACAAGCACACAGGTCCACGCACGCATAATGAGCACACAGGTCCACGCACGCATAATGAGCACACAGGTCCACGCACGCATAACGAGCACACAGGTCCACGCACGCATAATGAGCACACAGGTCCACGTACGCATAATGAGCACACAGGTCCACGAACGCATAACTAGCACACAGGTCCACGCACGCATAACGAGCACACAGGTCCACGCACGCATGATGAGCACATAGGTCCACGCACGCATAGCGAGCACACAGGTCCATGCACGCATAATAAGCACAAAGGTCCACGCCCGCATAACGAGCACAGAGGTCCACGCACGCATAATGAGCACACAGGTCCACGCACGCATAATGAGCACACAGGTCCACGCACGCATAATGAGCACACAGGTCCACGCACGCATAACGAGCACACAGGTCCACGCACGCATAACGAGCACACAGGTCCACGCACGCATGATGAGCACATAGGTCCACGCACGCATAGCGAGCACACAGGTCCACGCACGCACAATGAGCACGCAGGTCCACGCACGCATAATGAGCACACAGGTCCACGCACGCATAACGAGCACACAGGTCCACGCACGCATAACGAGCACACAGGTCCACGCACGCATAATGAGCACACAGGTCCACGCACGCATAATGAGCACACAGTTCCACGCACGCATAATGAGCACACAGGTCCACGAACGCACATCGAGCACACAGGTCCACGAACGCATAAAGAGCACACAGGTCCACGCACGCATAATCAGCACACAGGTCCACGCACGCATAACGAGCACACAGGTCCACGCACGCATAATGAGCACACAGGTCCACGCACGCATAATGATCACACAGGTCCACGCACGCATAACGAGCACACAGGTCCACGCACGCATAATGAGCACACAGGTCCACGCACGCATAACGAGCACACAGGTCCACGCACGCATAATGAGCACACAGGTCCACGCACGCATAATGAGCACACAGGTCCACGCACGCATAACGAGCACACAGGTCCACGCACGCATAAGAGCACACAGGTCCACGCACGCATAACGAGCACACAGGTCCACGCACGCATAATGAGCACACAGGTCCACGCACGCATAATGAGCACACAGGTCCACGCAGGCATAACGAGCACACAGGTCCACGCACGCATAATAAGCACACAGGTCCACCCACGCATAACGAGCACACAGGTCCACGCACGCATAATGAGCACAAGGGTCCACGCACGCATAATGAGCACACAGGTCCACGCACGCATAACGTGCACACAGGTCCACGCACGCATAACGAGCACACAGGTTCACGCACGCATGATGAGCACACAGGTCAACGCACGCATAGCGAGCACACAGGTCCACGCACGCATAATGAGCAAACAGGTCCACGCACGCATAATGAGCACACAGGTACACGCACGCATAACGAGCACACAGGTCCACGCACGCATAAAGAGCACACAGGTCCACGCACGCATAATGAGCACACAGGTCCACGCACGCATAATGAACACACAGGTCCACGCACGCATAATGAGCACACAGGTCCACGCACTCATAACGAGCACACAGGTCCACGCACGCATAACGAGCACACAGGTCCACGTACGCATAATGAGCACACAAGTCCACGCACGCATAACGAGCACACAGGTCCACGCACGCATAATGAGCACACAGGTCCAGGCACGCATAACGAGCACACAGGTCCACGCACGCATAACGAGCACACAGGTCCACGCCCGCATAATGATCACACAGGCCCACGCACGCATAATGAGCACACTGGTCCACGCACGCATAACGAGCACACAGGTCCACGCACGCATAACGAGCACACAGGTCCACGCACGCATAATGAGCACACAGGTCCACGCTCGCATAATGAGCACACTGGTCCACGCACGCATAATGAGCACACAGGTCCACGCACGCATAACGAGCACACAGGTCCACGCACGCATAACGAGCACACAGGTCCACGCACGCATGATGAGCACAACAGGTCCACGCACGCATAACGAGCACACAGGTCCACGCACGCATAATGAGCACACAGGTCTACGAACGCATAACGAGCACACAGGTCCACGCACGCATAACAAGCACACAGGTCCACGCACGCATAATGAGCACACAGGTCCACGCTCGCATAATGAGCACACTGGTCCACGCACGCATAATGAGCACATAGGTCCACGCACGCATAATGAGCACACAGGTCCACGCACGCATAATGAGCACACAGGTCCACGCACGCATAACGAGCACACAGGTCAACGCACGCATAATGAGCACACAGGTCCACGCACGCATAATGAGCACACAGGTTCACGCACGCATAATGAGCACACAGGTCCACGCACTCATAACGAGCATACAGGTCCACGCACGCATAACGAGCACACAGGTCCACGCACGCATAATGAGCACACAGGTCCACGTACGCATAACGAGCACACAGGTCCACGCACGCATAACGAGCACACAGGTCCACGCACGCATAACGAGCACACAGGTCCACGCACGCATAATGAGCACACAGGTCTACGAACGCATAACGAGCACACAGGTCCACGCACGCATAACAAGCACACAGGTCAACGCACGCATAATGAGCACACAGGTCCACGCACGCATAATGAGCACACAGGTCCACGCACGCATAATGAGCACACAGGTCCACGCACTCATAACGAGCATACAGGTCCACGCACGCATAACGAGCACACAGGTCCACGCACGCATAATGAGCACACAGGTCCACGTACGCATAACGAGCACACAGGTCCACGCACGCATAATGAGCACAAAGGTCTACGCACGCATAACGAGCACACAGGTCCACGCACGCATAACGAGCACACAGGTCCACGCACGCATAACGAGCACACAGGTCCACGCACGCATAACGAGCACACTGGTCCCACGCACGAGCATAACACGAGCACACAGGTCCACGCACGCATAACGAGCACACAGGTCCACGCACGCATAATGAGCACACAGGTCCACGCACGCATAACGAGCACACAAGTCCACGCACGCATAATGAGCACACAGGTCCACGCACGCATAACGAGCACACAGGTCCACGCACGCATAACGAGCACACAGGTCCACGCACGCATAACGAGCACACAGGTCCACGCACGCATAACGAGCACACAGGTCCACGCACGCATAATGAGCACACAGGTCCACGCACGCATAACGAGCACACAGGTCCACGCCCGCATAATGAGCACACAGGTCCACGCACGCATAATGAGCACACAGGTCCACGCACGCATAACGAGTACACAGGTCAACGCACGCATAATGAGCACACAGGTCCACGCACGCATAATGAGCACACAGGTCGACGCACGCATAATGAGCACACAGGTCCACGCACGCATAACGAGCACACAGGTCCACACACGCACTTAAACCAATAAATAATGCTCACACAGGCACACAAGTTGACACACACAGTAGATATATATACATATAATATATATATATATATATAATAATAATATATATATAATATATATAAATCATATATATATATATATATATATGCACACAGGCCAAGTGACACCTCACTTGTGACCCAACAGCACTTATCATTAGTTTCCCTACTCTCTCTCTCTCTCTCTCCACTCCCTCTCTCCCTCTCCTCTCTCTCCCTCTCCCTCTTTCCATCTTTCCCTCTCCATCACTCTCTCTGCCTCTCTTTTTTCTCTCTCCCTTTTCTCTTTCTCTCCTCCTCCCACCCATTCCCTCTCTTTCTCTCTCCTCCCTCCCTCCCTTCCCCCATTTCTCTCCTCTAGCCCCATTCTTGCTCTTTCTCCACCCCCTCCCTCTCCCTGTCCCTCTCCCTCCCTCCCTCTCTCCCTCTCCCCATCTCTCTCCCCTTTACAACTCCCCACCCCCATGCACATGCACACACTCAAAAACAGTACACCCAACACCTAACCTGTCTAACTGTGTATGTGTCTCTCCCTCTCCCTCTATCCCCCTTCCCACTCTCTCTCCACCTCTCCATCACCTTGTCCCCATCTCAATAACCCTTACAATTCCCTCACCCCATACATATGAACACACACACACACACACACACACATACACACACACACACACACACACACACACACACACACACACACACACACACACACACACACAGTACACACACACATTACAGCACCTAACCCATGAAAAAATGGCGGCTCAGAAGTGAA